TTCTGGCCGGGCCGAGTATGGTTCTCGGACCTGATTTCTCTCCTCGACGGCACTCCATGGGAGATTCCCATCAGGAGAGATCTCCTCTCACAGGCGGAGGGTACGATCATCCACCCCCGACCGGAGCTGTGGAAGTTGTGGGTATGGCCCCTGAGGGGGCACAACTCATAGCACAACTCATAGACCGGAGTCTCTCAACCGAGGTTGTTGAGACCATCCTCCAATCCAGAGCTCCCTCAACGAGGAAACTGTACACCTTGAAGTGGAAACTTGACCCAGTTAACTGCCCGGTTGGTACAGTGCTGGAGTTCTTGCAGACCCGTTTCTCCACAGGGTTGACCCACTCCACCCTGAAGGTCTACGTGGCGGCTATTGCGGCCTACCACGCCCCTCTTGGTGGCCAGTCAGTGGGCAGACACCCCCTAGTTACACGTTTCCTCCGCGGTGCGCTGAGGCTGAGGCCTCCGGAACGATCTCGGGTCCCCACGGCCTTCAGTCCTCCTCCCTTCGGGGATCCAGACCAGCAGAAGCTAAACTGTATGTGTCCAGTGCGAGCACTGGACGCATACGTCCACAGAGCTGCCTTGTGGAGAAGGGCGGACCAACTGCTCGTATGCTATGGTCCCCCTAAGAGAGGTCTTCCTGCTACAAAACAGACCCTCAGTCGGTGGATACTAGATGCTATTTATATTTCTTATGAGTCCTCTGATCTCCCTTCGCCTCTTGGGGTCAAGGCTCACTCTACGAGAAGTGTGGCGGCCTCTAAGGCCTTCTTGGCAGGTGTCTCAATGCAGGACATCTGCGACGCTGCAGGATGGTCCACGCCCCTGACCTTTGTCAGGTTCTATGGTCTAGACATGCGAGCCACTCCTGGCTCCTCTGTTCTCGCACCTTAGCTGTGCACGCTTCCACACTAGGCGAGATTTGAAAGTCTGGCGGCGTGGGCGTTCTTGTTCCCGAAGCGTCCTCCGACGCAGCTCAAGTTCCTGAAGAGGAACGTCTCAGGTTACGTATGTAACCATGGTTCCTTGAGGGAATGAGACGCTGCGTCTCGGGGTCATACTTTCGGCATCTCTGCCAGCACTTGCTTCATTCCTGGAAGCTGACGCTGGTCTCACCGCACGTGCTTTTATAGCTTCCTGGTCATTACGTCACCTGCCCGTGACATCTTGCCCATCTATTGGTCTGATTACACATGAGGTTCAGAGCCGGTCACGCTGAAGGGTGTTCCCGAATCGTCCTCCGATGCAGCGTCTCGTTCCCTCGAGGAATCCTTGGTTACATACGTAACCTGAGACGATTTCTAGCATTATCTTGGCAAATCTGAGCACAGAGAGAGACTTTGTTGACATCTCTTCTGAAAATCTAGATTAATAGAATACTTTTCTAAAGAGGAAGTCCAAAAATGTGGATGACTCAAGCAAAAATCCAAATCATTACTGTATGAGGGACATATCTCATCTGTGATTTTTCTTTCCTACAGGGATGTTCATAGACTCCTCCAGCTTCAGTTGTCGAAATCAAAATTCTCAGGGTTTGATTAATCATGAAATGCCATATAACCACTGCAACCCTGCTGCTTTATCTGTCTGCTTTTATCTGTTCACCTATTCCGAAACAAAATGCTTTACAACCAACCCCAAAAAGCTCAAATATGACAAAACATTTACTTTATGAAAAGGAATATTCATTCAATAAATGATGCAAGCTCTTAAGTGTTTGTGTATCTGTAGCTGTCCTGTTCAAGGACGTTCCTGTCAAAATGAGTAACTGTTCACAGTTCAGACTGCACTGAGCTCGGTCAAGCTCTCCCACACTTTGGAGAGGGAAAGGGGTTTAAAGGTAAAAAGCTAAACTATTGATGAAACTTAAATCTTGAATTTAAGCTAGTCTCCTTCATGGAAAATAAGAGAGAAGAGGTGAGCTGTATGGATGATGTCTATTTAAAAACCCTTATTCTGAGGCTTTTTGTTCAGTTTAAAGTAAAAGAAGCGATACTAGGAATCTAAAATGACTCATGTATCTTTCATAAAAGTTCACTGAGCGGTTGGTGCTTTGCTATTAGTAGAAGACATTACACGCTTCATTTAGGATGTTGTGAAACATTGCTTAGAGCCTGTGAAAGCCCATGAATGCATGCCAAATGGTTGTGAATACGCTCTTTTAAGCATCATCAACTGCACTGTTGGGAAGGGGTGAAAATGACTTTGAAGCATCTTATAATCATTTTTAAGGCCATTGCTGTTTATAATTTGGCTTTAGATGTTTTAAAAGATTTAATCTAACACATATAACAATGTGTGACAAATCCTACTTGGTACATTAATGGTGGTTAACAAAATATGTTACGTCAGTCATTCTGTCAAACTCATGACTTTCTTCCCGTGAAACCCAAAAGGAGAATTTTTGATGAATGTTCATGCTGCTCTTTTTCATGCAATTATAAAAAATGGGAAATAATGCTTTCAAGCTTCAAACATGACAAACTCAGCATTACAGTAAATCATTTGTGTTTCAGCTTATTCAGGATTGAAACGACATAAGTGATAGATGTCTGAGTGAACTGACTTTAAACCAGACTTTGAGCTGTGCTGTTGTTTCTTTGAACCCCAGTGAATTACATCCACATGCACACACACACACACACACACATACAGTACACTCTTAACTCACCAAAACATATTTTCGCTCTGTTCTAAGGGTCAGTAATAACAGACCAACTCGAAAAAGCTGAATCATCATTAGTAAATGGGTTTGAGCTTCACAATTTCAAGAACATGTACTCCCATAAATCATTGGAATCAGCTAGAAAAAAAAATACAATAGCTGAATTTTGTGTGTGTGTGTGTGTGTCTGAAGGGTTGCATGAGTGAATCTGAGCAGTATTTGGCCACTGGAATATATGCCCACTTCACTCAGAGGCATGATGGGATTCCTACCCCCTGCTGAATGCCATCTAACACACAGACGGCCACACATTTATCACTCACCACTGAGCATGTGTGTGTATGCAAGTGCATGTAAGTGGCAAGGAAAGATTGTGTCCATATAACCTCACACAGAGAGGAGGTACAACCACCTGCTTGAGCTGTCAGTGAATGGCAACCTTTCACATCACGACATGTTACATGACGAATAGAGGTGCATAAAATAAAGTTCTGTAGTCTCAGAAATTCAGATGATAGAGACCTTAAAAATGGAAAATTCTAAAAAAAGAAGTTGAACAGTTATATTGGTCTTCCCACAGTTAAAAATACTGATTTAGCGATTACATGATAAATTAAAATTTTTAAGTTATACTGTATTTCGACATACCCTCTGAAGTTCAATCATTGTTGTGTGCTATAACTAATAGTAAACAGGAAGAGATTCAATAACAGCAATCTGTCATGCAACATTAAAGACTGTCAAAACAACAATTTTTTTTGAATTTCACAATAAAATTGACAATTTGAAAGAAAAGAAACTATCAAAAATGGCAAAACATGAAACAATCACATAACTGCTTTCTGATTTAAACAACTTATGATTTGAACTGAAGGAGTGTTTCACATATATGGTACACAACTATATTATAAAACTTCTTCACATTAAAAACAAAATATCAAAGCATGTGGCATGTGCATATGCATCATGTAAATGACACATATGTTTATACATATTTACTTCCGAACTAATTTCACTTCATTGTACATCTAGGTCCCAATGCTTAGTGAATGTATGAAGTCAGTTCACACAGAATCATTATGGACATGATCCATTAACATCTGACAACAAGAAAGTGTTCAAATACTTGTTTTCTCTTCTGAACAGTGTATCTGTATTGGTTTATCATTATAATACAAATGTCTTGCTATGACCACCTCTTGGTCTCATATTTTATAATTTAATGATATTCAGCCATTGTAAAGAGTGGCTTAAGTATCTAAATAATTTATGAGGCCACTTTGGAATAAGTGTAAATTATAACCTCCACCAAACACGCTCATAAACAGATGCAAACAAGAGTCTCAGAGCTCTCAATAGAAATCCCTAGCCATATCAGCTGAGTTACACTTTGTTATTCTACAATAACACACAGCCTCAGGAGATCTGTGTTTTACTGTGAAACGAGTCCCGTCTCTCTCCAGCCATGAGTCAGCCAGAGGCAGCTGAGGCACACTGACACCAGATCAGTCCGGCCCGGGTGGAGGTCTGTGCCCGTCGGCTGTAGGGAACTGGCCACATCCTCCCTTTGTTCCTGACAGAACAGTAGCATTCTGTATTGTGAACTCACAAGCACCTAAAGCTGGACGGGTGTGATGACGTGCCTGGTCAGAGCTTCAGCTGCCCACACACAAAAATACAGCATGGTACAAAGGATCCTTTTTGGCTCTTCTATCCAAACACACCCACAGACAAACTCAAAGCTGCAAAACATCAATGTATTTATCAGTATGTTTTTGTTGTCGTTTTCTGTATAGCATATAAATAGCCCTAACAAGATAGATGAAGTTCATTTTTAGAGGCCACTGGCTAACTGATTCATTTTTATGTCATTTAAATAAATAAATAGCAACATTTAACAAAAAGCCTGATTCAAAAGCCTGTTTCTTCCTTAGTTGAGTTAAAGTCACAATGAGAAACTTTCATATAATAATGACTTATCACAATGAAGAGAAACGTTCACATAAAAAATGACTTAACATCTCACAATAATAAGAAACTTGTATGCAATGATGGTTTAATGTTTCACAATAATAAACTTTTACATACAGTAGAAACTTAAAATCATATAATAAACTTTCACATAATGATTTAACATCTCATGATAATGAGAAACTTTCTGATAATAATAAACACTCTTAATGATAAACTTGGTCATTATGATAAAGTTTCTCATTATTATGTGATAGTCATAATTATTAGATTTTTTGGGTAACACTTTACAATAAGTTATTAGTTAACATTAGTTAACTACGTTTGTTAAAATGAACTAAAAATGAACAATACTTCTACAGCATTATTAATCTTAATGTTAATTTCAGCATTTACTAATGCATTATTAAAATCACAAGTTTTGTTTGTTAACATTAGTTAATGCAATGTGAACTAACATGAACAAACAATGATTTATTTATGAATAATGGCCTCTTGTAGCGAATCCATGCATTTTTGTAAGATAAATATCCATATTTCAAACGTAATAAACACTTTTCTCTCACTTCCGGTATCTGTCATACGCGGAAGACGTTCCGGCGGATGACGAAAGACGTCAGCGTTGCGTGATTAGTGACGAACGCGGAGAGAGAACAAACCAAAATGCCATTCACAAATTAGAAGTACAAAACGAGGATTTGTAAAGAAAAATGTTGGAGGATTTCGATATAAGCCAAGAGGAGACTGGTTTTTCTTTGCTAAAGTAAGGAAACTTTGCTTCCTTTGCTCCTGCATTTCTCAGAGGCGCGTGCACGACACATCTTATGTCATCCGACTGAACGTCTTCCACGTACCACAGTCAGCGGAAGTGAGAAAAAAGTGTTTATTACGTTTGAAATATGGATATATATCTTACAAAAATGCATGGTTTCGGTACAGAAGGCCTTTATTCACCCCCCAGAGCCATGTGAGGCACTTTTTATTACGGATGCGTGCACTTTATTTCACGTCTTCTGAACTGATGACAACAAACACCAGCTTACCCCCATTGAAAGGCTTGGAGGGGCCAGGACAATTTTTTATATAACGCCGATTGGATTCGTCTGAAAGAAGAAAGTCACATACACCTAGGATGCTTTGAGGGTGAGTAAAACACAGGCTAATTAAAATTTTTGGGTGAACTAAACCTTTAATGTAGGGCTGAACGATTAATTGCATTTGCGATAATATCGCGATATGAAAAAATTTTAATTTTCAACCGCAGATTGAAACCGTGTGATCACACTCAGTCACGTGACATGCAAGAGTAAAGAGGTGTGTTCGACTTGAAGATCGATTGGTGTATGACATCAAAGTATGGCGAGAGATAGCATAATTATGCAATTTTTATTGGTGGACCCCCCACGAAACGCGATTGGACTAGTTTTGAGCAGCAATTGGGTGGGTTTTGTTGTGAAAACTGGGCAACCCTGGCACACTACACGCGGAGTAACAGTGTTACGGTGCATTTCATTACTGAAGACTTTGACCTTAAGATAATATATATAATAAGGTCATATATATATATTTATATATATATACAGTATCTCACAGAGGTGAGTACATCCCTCACATTTGTAAATATTTTTTATTATATCTTTTCATGTGACAACACTGAAGAAATGACACTTTGCTACAATGTAAAGTAGTGAGTGTACAGCTTGTATAACAGTGTAAATTTGCTGTCCCCTCAAAATAACTCAACACACAGCCTTTAATGTCTAGACCGCTGGCCACAAAAATGAGTACACCCCTAAATGAAAATGTCCAAATTGGGCCCAGTTAGC